GACTGCCTCTCACAGAGACCACAGGGAAAGATCCTTTACTGACACCTGGTGGGTAAATCTGCACACTGCGTGTGGAGATGCGTTAGTGTAGAAGTGTGTCACAAATACTTGCAATGTAGAGAAAACAAACAGATATGAGCCTTTAGTTAAACATCCACGCCATGGCTTAGGTTCACAGACTGTTGACCTGGTTTGTTTATCTAGCCTGCTTCTCTTTCACTCTCCCAGACTGGCATGTCCTTAAGAAACCATTCACTCTCTCTTCCCGACTGTGATATTTTTAACCATTTGCTTGTCTCCAACAGATGGAGCTAGAAAGCATGGTTACTATCTACTTGCGTTATTTTATAGAAGGGAGGTGATACCGAACAGGAGATGATGCGAAACAAGACTGTTGCATGGATGACTTCTATTGTTACATTTGACACACCGATGTATTAACTGATTAGGCCAGGAAGTCAGGCAGATGCTAAAGAGGGAGATGGATCTGTGCAAAACAGGCCATGTTCCCTCGCCTGTTGAACTGCACCACAGCCTCTGCTAGCAAGCTGTGATTGTATGCCATTGCACTTGGCTCCCTGTCCCCAGATGCAGGGGCTTGTCTCCCTCTTCAAAACATGAGCAGACATTCATGCACTTTCTGGGTTGATAAACTGGTAGGAATTCCCACACTGGTCCTTGAGACATGAACTGACCGGAACCTGAAGCTGCAAAGTAGCTATTTACTCTAGCGAGAACTTCACGTTTCACCATCTTGACCTGCGTCTACTGAAGTTCTATTTTTCTTTCTTCTAGCACCTCAGTAGGTTGTCTTGTGTGTACCCCACTTTGGAGACCCCCGGACTATAGGTATGCAAATACTCTGAGAGGAGAATACAGATGTAGTAACAGGGCTATGTCACAGACATGCAGTCAGTCCACCCCTGTGAATTAAACAAATTTCTGCCAAGATAATCCTAGTTCTCAGTCAAGATAAATGGATACATAAATACATATATAAATATAGATATACACATTATGTATAAATATTTCATACTTCTCAATACAAACCACACAAAACCACTCTTTGCTGCAACTTACTGCATCTGCTTATCTGACATATAGCTGTAGTTCTGTGAAAAGTGTGTTGTATCAAACAGAGGTGTATGAGCTCTGTAACTGCTCTGCTTGGGTGAAAGTGGGAACTGGGCAATTTAAGGAAGTGCCAGTATCCCCAAAAGGAACTACAGCATATTATGTGTATATGCATTACTCTCCTAAAACCTGCAGGTGTTTAAATAAATAGAATTTCTGGACCGAGGATAATCCATCTGAGCAATTTCCTATAGAATGTCCTTTTGACCTAGGCAAAATAGACCACTTAACACATTCCTTGGAGTGCACAGGAACTAAGGTACTCCAATTGCAGTCCAAAAAGAAAAACAAAATCTTAAACCAGAAGTCTAAGACACTCTCAGGAGAAACTGAAACTTCAAATAAAGCAACTGGACAGTTAGAAAACCACCATGTGTTTTTGGAAAAGAAAAATTAATGTTATCTTATGAGAAAACAATGTTTCCTTAACAGGCAGCCATCAAAACTAACAACAGAGAAAACTTGTGCTATCATAACAGTGTGTAACAGTATTAGATTTACTATCCCACTTCACCTGAACCATGTTTTCCATGTTTTCATTCTGAGAAAGAAATAGCAAAGAGCAGTGTTTCTTCTGAGTGTGAAGTAAATAAATAAAATAGCTGACTACAGGCTAAACTTTAAAGGCTTCACTTCATCCAAACTCTTATAAACGTGCCTAAATATAAATACGTGAGTTGATCCAGCAACTCATTTAAGCACCTGTTAAATATCTTGAAGAATTAGAGTCACAAGCAACATAGCATGATGGAAAAACAGGGCAAGAGTCAGCAGAGCAGGCTTACTGAAGATGACGCAGCTTTGGTCACACCAAAGGGAGTCCACAAATAATTAAGTTTACATACAGAATATGAAACCATTTAGCACAGGCAAGAAAGACCCATCTCTCCCTACCCTCCCAGCCAAAAGGATCAGTAATCTGCTTGGTAATCTGTTGTAATTATAAAAATAAAACAAACAAACAAAAAAAGTTAACACCTGTTCAGGAGCCCTCGGAATACTGCAAACATAAAAGCATTTAAGCAAAAACAGGCGTTACTTGTTTGTTAAAAACGAGCCTTACTTGTTCCTTTCTTTCCTGAGGCTTAAATGAAAATTGTAACAACCAGAAAAATGTCATCTTGGCACTCTGGCAAGTAGTATTAACTATCCAAGGATCACAGGCAAAAAAAGAAAAAGAATGAACAAAGATACTATCCATCATATGTGAGAACAACTGAAGCCTCTGGCACTTCTTCAGCAGACAAAACTTCACTTTTTGAGGCTTGAGGATTATAAATATTATGAGCCAGAACAAAACCAAAGTCACTTGTCAAGCGTTGTGAAGTACTTGACAAGGTGACACGTTCAGTATCACAGTCATGCCTGTATCAAATGCCTGACTGCAGGGAGTGTCTTTATATTCCTTATCCACGTTCCCAGTCCTTCCTCAGGCCCCAAATCGGCACCTGCATCATCTCTGTCTTGTGGTGGAGCTGTGGACAGACCCTTTGCCTTCACTGTTCCTTCACAACTTCTTACTACCACATCCTTTTCACCTTTTTACATTTTTCACTCTCCTGAACCTGCATCACAATCTCTGTCTGGCGTTTGGCTGCTCTCATTCCTTGTGCTTGCCCTCCCAAATTGCCAGCACAGCTCCTGATGGCCCTTGCTCCACTCGCTGGCACTAGGGAGATGTATGTGGCTCTCTGGGCGAACTTGGGAAGGAATCCCCCAGGTGCTGCATTTCCAGCACCACCTGCAGGAACAGTTGTCACTGTAGGACCCTCCTGAGCTGGCTTGCTCAGGCAAAGAGATGTAAAGATGTAGCCAAACCCTACTTATTTCACAGTATTGCAAGTGTGCTTCCTCGGCCACACTTTTGCAAGAGCTGTTAGACATCTTCCCAAGATGTGCTGTTGCATGCAAAGAGAACAACTCCTCATGGACACGGATTGAGGAACACCAAGTCTGGCCCTGAATTATCGTATTTAATATAATAATGGATGAAGTGAAAAATTGAGAAAAGCATCTCTGAAGGAGGGAAAAGGATTCACTCATGCTCCTCTTTCTTTCTGTTTACTAACATCACACATTAAACAAAAAAATTTCCACTGCCTGCAAGCCTGGCTGGGGACCCAACTTGCCTATACGCATGCAAAAAAGACAGAATTCTGACTGCAGAAGGACATCACAATTAATACTTCAGCACAAAAGTAACAAAAGGAACCCCCTTCCCATCGCTCTTGCTGATGCTGCCCTTCAGATTTTCTCTGCACCCACCTCTGCATCAGTGAGGTGGCCCAAGGACTGTCTGCTGTGAGCTCAGTGAGGCGGCAGGAAGCTGCAGCCAAACAGAAAGCGGCTCCAAAGCGAAACTGGCAAGCAACCTGCATGCATCAGGAGGCATGCTGCTGCCTTTGCTCGGTGGAAATAAGCCAGCAGACAGATGGACAGACACAGATGTAATTAAATGTGTGTGTGTAGCACACTACAGTGTAGTTTTCCACTGCAAAAACACCTTCCGTTGCAAAAGCACAACTTTGTTTCTCACATAGCCTCTTTTCATTTGGCAAATAAATCAGCCTTTACCCCCTCTAATACATAAAATGAATCAGGCCACATATGCTAGATACAGACTAGCAAGTACTTCGCACCAGCTCTTTAAAAAAACCTCTAGTAAGTGTTTTAAAACCTTCTAACACAACAACGCACAGCTATTCATAAAATGCTGCCTAGTCAATGCATATCATACATATACCTTAAATGTGTATTACGTGTCCATCGGATCCCTAATTGCCTTTATTTCCCCTACCCTTGCACCAGTGCTGCCTGTTTCTAGTAGCAGCCTTTCATGCCTGTAAGAGTCACCTTTGGCCATTTCTAATCTACAGGGTTACCAGCAGCTGGAAAAAACAGGACCTCATTTTGTGGTTGAATGATAATTTCATTGGAAATTTGATATTTTTAGTTGTAAAATGAAATTCCAAGTCTCTCATGTTTTATTTCCCATCTTATTAAGAGTGGCTTCTAAGTGGCATTATTTGATTACTTTTACCTGCAGAAAATGCACCGTAGTTATTCCTAAATCTGTGCTGGTTCTTACCAGCAGCCACACAGTTTCATCGCAAGGACCAGCAAAATCACTGCACTCCTTGTGCACATCTCCCTCTAGTGGAAGAAAATACAGCAAGCCCATTTCTCCACGGAGACACAAGTATCAAAAATAAGCAATAAAGAGGGCATGGTGTCCAGCTGTTCTGTCCACTCTCCATCAGCTTTATCCACTCAAAAACAGTAACGGTGATCGAGGGAAATGCTAGTGTACTCTTCGTATTTTTAAACGTTTCTTCCATTGCTCTGCAGGGACTTATAACAATACAGTCTTGGAGGTTTAGTTTGTGAATTTAATGGTGCCGTTAAGAGAGTGGAAAGGTGTCATATATTATGCCTCAAAAAGCTGTGCCCTCAGAGGAAGACCAATGGACATTTTTCAGGTGCGGGTTTTGGATCCGTTCTGCTGCTACACAATAGAAGTCAGGGCTGCTTTAGCACCCCAGCCATCACTGCTGGTGGAAGATGAAGTCAACGTGAGGGCAACATGAACTGGACTGGTTTTACTGAAGGGTGAGAGATTTTGTAGTGGCATAACTACACCAGCACAGCCCCCTATCTGCAAGGAGTCTGGTTTAAAATCGTGAAGACTGTGAAGCACCAGAAAGCTGGGGCAGTGCTAAGCGCAGTAAAGCTTCGCTGGAGCAATCTGCGAAGACCACAGGACTGGGGCTGATGAGCCTGATAAGCGCTTATCGCCCCTCAGCCCCAGGCACCAGGCTGCCCCTATGGCTCCCCCCACAACATGGTGGCGGGCGGACATGACATGGCGCCCCGCCCCGCGGGGAGGGGACGGGACAGGGCTTCCGCCGGTTGCAGTTGCACACCAACGGCTGCAACGGCCGAGCTGCAACGGTAAACGGTAAATAAACGATAAACGGCAACGGCAGCAGCCCCCGCTTGCTGCCCGCCATGACGCGCTGGGCCCGCAAAGCCGCCGCCGAGGGGGGCAAGGCGCTGCCGGCCACCCCCTGGGAGGAGATGGCGACGGCGGCGCCGGCGAGGAAGAGGAGGAGGAAGAAGGAGTACGCGGACCGCGACGTGAACGGGTTCGCTGCCCACCTCAGGAGGGCGGCGGCGGGCGGCGAGCAGCAGCAGCAGCATGAGGAGGAGGAGAGGGGAGAGGAGGATGAGGAAGAGGAGGCGGCGGCCGCGAGGAAGGCGCTGCGGCGGGAGGGCCGGCGGCTGAGGCGGCAGGAGGCGAGGAGGAGCGCCATGGTGAGGGGGCGCCGCCGGTGCTGCCCCAGCGCGCAACTGGGGGCAGCGGGGGGAGACACGCTGATAATAATCAATAAACAGCCACCAGTTGAAAAATAATAATAATAGCCGATACTAATCTTGCTTGGTGATGGGCGTCTGGTAGTTACTCTGTGGCACGCCGCAGCATCTCTCCTGTCCTACCCGTATTGCTGCAGGGGGATGACCTGTTGGTACACCTGCCTCCTAACAACCCCCCTGACAAACTTATTTCATATTAGGGTAGCCTAAAACATCACTGCAGAGGTGCATTCAGTAGTGCCAATAAAGTTTCAGCCAGGAGAAATGGCGGCCTAGAGAAAATAGTGTGGGACATAAGCGATAATCAGATATTAACACCAAGTGATCTCTCTCATAAAGCTACCTATAAGTGCTGTTTTGCTCTGTGACGTGTTTACGAAAATGCAATTTTTATTTTCAAAGGTATGTTTCCACTGTAGGGAACCTGGCCACGGTGTTGCTGATTGCCCAGCGGTGCTTGAAAGTCAAGATATGGGCACAGGGATCTGTTACCGGTGCGGGTCCACAGAACACGACATCAGCAAATGCAAGGCAAAGATCGATCCAGCTGCTGGTACGGTTCAGAAATTGTGTTTCTCAGAGTATACTTTGGTGTGAGTTTTCTGACCACTGTAATAAAAGGTTTCTGTTTTAGCAACTTAACCTTTCTGAAGATGTAAGTTAATATGTTTAAAGGAATACAACATTAAAATAACACTATTTAACAGCATTGTGTTCATACCGTAGCATAATATTATATTATGGTATAATATTGTAATTGTGATGTTTTCAGAGTTGACTGTGACTCTGCAGAGTTTTTAATTTGTATCGTAAACTGTTTGGAATTTTGCAGGGGCATTTCCGTATGCAAAATGTTTTATCTGTGGCGAGATGGGGCATCTGTCAAGGTCATGTCCAGATAATCCCAAAGGATTGTATGCTGAAGGTGAGTGCAGAAACTTAACCGCAAACAAAATGCATTTTTCCTTCTTACCCAACACAGAGCAAAGTAACATTGCAAATTAATGACAGTGTTACTGAAAGGAATTTCCAGACGTCTTTTACTCTTGGTGAGAGCAGATTAATTCTGGGGAACTCAGTGCTAATGTTCGTTATCTAGGGATTTCTATTTTGGTTAAACAAGGAGGTGAAGTGCAAAGTATGAGAACTTGCTTGTGCTTGCAATTTCAAGAGAAACAAAGAAACCATAGTATCCTGTGTGCGTGTAGTCAATGAGTATTTAAATGTAAATACACCTAAGTATCTAGTAAAAAACATGCTGCTGGTCTGAGAAGGGACTTTATAACCTTTACTGCTTAACACTGTAAGAACAGAGAGAGGTGTTCACGCAAAACAAGATCTGTTGTAGTTACACGTGGAAGTCATTTGTTCCTTGTATGTAGGAGGTGACATTGTAAAAGATTAAAGGAAAATTAAGAGTTTAAAAACAGGTCGTGGCTTCAAGACAGTCTTAGAAATGTATTCTGAGAAATGAATGTCGTGTGTATGCTGCTTGACCACCCAGCAGCTTGGAGTCTTGACAGCTGAGGGTTGTTCATAGCAAAGGGCTCTCACATCATCATTTTACGTGTCTTTAATGAGAAACATCATCTAGGTTTGAAGATTCATTTAGATTCTGCTCTGCCTGTTGCTTCGTTTTTGTTGGCACTAGCAAATACCGCTCTGTTTGCTGGAGTCTTCCAGTACAGATTTGAAGTCCTGCAGACTCGTAAGGGTGATTTTACAATACAGTTGGATCGGAAGAAAAGCATCTTTGAAGGCATTATACTTCTCATAATCCAGGCATTGAAACTGACTTCATATTTTATAGCTCAGTACCTGCTGTTGGGTTAAGTACTGCTCTGGAGCTCCTGTTACTTTCAAAAGGTCCTTTGAATAATTGAATTAAAGCAGAATTATGTTGTTCTGTCTAAAAAAGAGACGGGTTACAGATGGATGTGTCTCTCTGTCAGAGACCGACAGTACGAGGAAGCTGTGCATGCAGGCTCCTAAAGCTGTCTGCTTGTCAGCTCCGCAGTGCCACGTGTAGGAATGCTGACCTGTCTGTAGGGACGTTTCTTTATCTTATTCATCGGTTGTCACTTCAGAACAGCAAAACAAGATTTTTTAATGTACATGTAACAGTAAAACAGCGATTCTGTTTTATTTTGTTTTTCAAATGAGTAACAACCTTCTCTCTCTTTTAACAGGGGGCTGCTGCAAACTCTGTGGCTCTGTGGAGCACTTCAGAAAAGACTGTCCGGAGAACAAGAACTTAGGTGAGATGAAAGGGGCTGAATAGAGTGGAGTCTGAATGTGCAGTCATGTTTGTTTGCTGCTTTGCCTTGACTTTGGTCAGGAAGAAAAGGCTTTGAGAAGAGAATTTGCAGACAGCACAGATGACTTCCCTTTGGAAATGTGCCCTTATATTAAGGGATGTGTTAAGGGAAGGAGACATTAAGCTGCAGTGCAAAATACGAACATTCAGTTCAAAAAAAAAATCTAGCTTTTGGGTTTCTGAAGGTAATGTGACCAAATGTGTGTGCGTAAGCAAGTATTTATGCTGCTGCTCATAGCACTAGCAGCCACAGAAGAAAATGGCCAGAAGAGGTTTCTTCTTTTGGCGATTCTCGTGAAGTGGTAGAACAGCACATAATGTCAGTTGCAGCGTGGTGATACTGGCAGCTGGCACTAGCTGCTTGTGCAGGCAGGTGTTTGAATTATAAACAACAGGAGAGTCAGAGGAGAGTGGAGGTCTGTCCTCCTGGTCTCACCAGCTGATAAGTGGCTTCTTTGTGTTCTGTGATTTACCTGTGTGGGTGGAAAAATCTGTTAAAAATCTCCCTGGCTGATTAGCTCGGCTCTTTGAATAAAGTGTATGGTTTTATCTGAGCTCTCCCTTCAGGTAAGGCCATTGATAGAAAGCACTTTGAGTGATCTGCTCCCTTTTTCACTGTTAATTCCCTTTTTACCTCCTGACAAATCAGTTTGCACTAAATTCATCAGTACATGTTACACACTGTAATACTTCCATTATTAATGAATATATTGCAAAGGGAAGTACAATTTGCAGATCAGGCTATGGAATAATAGTATTTCCTTTTCCTAAATTATTAGAGACAGGAGAAATCTGCTCCTGCGCTTCCATACATATTTATATTTATTTTATCTATCTTTTGTATAAAAGATTGTGCTAAGGAAGGCAAAACCAACAAACAAGGATTTGAAGAATGGCACTGTTGTTGGAGTGATGAAACATTATTTTTTGTGCTTTGTTTGAATGGCCTACGGAATTTTGGGGTTAATAATGTGTCATGAACTTTTGTGTAATTGGTGAGAAATATTTATGGAGATGATAGAGGTATCTACAGGATCAGATACAAAAGAGCCACTGAAGTATACGTGATAGTGTAGGCATTGTATGAGAGAGCAGATGTAGCATTATAGATGTGTTCTGGTGTAATAGCTCACAAGAAGTGAGATTCAGTCTTAACTGGTCACAGAAGTTTCTGATAGGAAAATTAAATTTTTCACCGAACTTTCCCTCACAAATACCAAAGGTGAGCCAGCTGTTGGCATGGCAGCGTTGCGCTGGCAGCACTTATCAGCTGAAAGGGTGCAGAGCTGGTACGCAGGGGGACACGAAAACAACCTGCAGAAGATGCTCGTCACTTGGGAGGTGCGGTCACTAAACCTGCCTGGTCCAGCCCCAAACTGCTGAAGATGTAACAGGTGGGGTTAGCGTGCCAAGGCCTGCATATAAATATATGAGACAGTTAATGAGAACTAACAAGTGCTAATTTGTAGAGCCACTGTCTTTCCGCAGACAAAGTATGAAAAATAAAAGCTGCAACTCTTTTTGCTCTCTGGCACTTGAATTACATGTGAAGCAGAACTGGATTTTTTTTCTGTCCATTTTTGGAGAAGCTTTATGTCCATCATGAAGATCAACAGATGCTGTTTAATTTCCATGGGGATATATTAGGCTTTACACTGACGTTTCAAAACTGGTATTGCTGGTTTAAAATGGTCAAATTAATTTGAACTGTGACATCATGGGTAAGAATTGTAGTATTCTTTGAAAGCAGTTCGTGCCATGCAGAGTGGTTTCAGATAAATTACAGAAAGGTAACTGATAGCTGGCAAAGAAGCTGAGGCACAAAAGTGTATTGTTTCTTCAAGTGGAGCTATTTGAGCCCCTCTAACATACAGAAGTTAATCCAAGTAAACGTTGATTTAACAGTGTGATATTCTTGGCGCTATTTGGTTTGTAGCTCTCAGGTAGTCATTCAGAAAAGAAACATGAGGGTGACGGAGCACTGGGACAGGCTGCCCAGGGAGGTTGTGGAGTCTCCTTCTCTGGAGATATTTGAGGCCTGTCTGGACGCCTACCTGGGCAGCCTGCTCTGAGGAACCTGCTTTGGTAGAAGGGTTGGACCCGGTGATCTTTCGAGGTCCCTTCCAACCCCTCCAGTTCTGTGATTCTGTGATGTGTTGGTGACCAGTGTTTTCTCTAGGACAGGGAACTTAACTGGTCAAAATATCACTTAAATGGCAAAAGGATGGTGTTTATTAAATGCAGGGGTATAAGACAAGAAGAGTAGATTATCTTCTATTGTGGCTCTTCAAGCATGGTTTTTTCAAGATCTTTCCTTTTTATCCAGGGGTGACTGACATATCCTGAAATCTTCATTGCATGAGTAATTAGGACTTACAGGAGAGTTAGTGTATCTTCTGCATACACTCTGGATGTTTCTTTGGACAGTCAAGTAGCAAAAAATGCTTTCTGATGATTTCTAAAGATGGGAAATTGGTGTGGATGAAGAAATGGAGTTTACAAAACACAAATTTAAAAGAAGAAGAGTTGTGTAAAGGAGCTAGCTTCAGACCCAGAAGGAAACTGACAGGCCCTTGTGGGCCAACTCTTCCCCAAATGTGAAAGTTTGATCTGACGCTGCTGCTTAGCCTCTCCGTAACCTCTTGTCTCCTGCTCCACAGATCAGGTTACTGTTGGGCGATGGGCCACTGGAATGAGTGCTGATTATGAAGAAGTTACAGAAACACCCAAGCCGCAAATACCCAAAGTGAAAGCACCGAAGGTTGTTAATTTCTGAAGGCCTCTGTTGGATGCTAAGCCACAGCTACAGCTTCACTTCAGAGTGGGACTGCTAGAGTGGACTGAACTGCAGGTTCCAGAAAATCGAGCGGACTGTTGCTGCTGAAGTTGTGTCCCTGATTTTTCAGTTTGCCTCCCAGACTCATCTAGCTTACTGAAAAACTGGGAACAGCAGAAATGCAGCAAGCGGGTATTTCATTTTTATATATTTTTGCAGAAATACAGCTTTCTGTCTGATTCACATTCCCTCGTATGGCTAGTTCTCTGAAGGGGGAACTCTTGAGGAGAAAAATCGGTTTCCTCTCATAACACAAATCTGGTTGCAGTAACCACACATGGCACCTGCCCTGTATCACGCGGGTTTATGACCCGTGGATCCAGCTGGTCAGGAGGGTTAACTAACGAGTGCTGCTGCTGTCGGGTATGAATACAGTTGTGCTGATCTTGAGAGTCTTTCTGCATTTCTCTGAAAGTGATTGTGGGTATGTTCTAACCACTCTTGTTGGGTTCTAGTGTGCCTTCTAGGAAGTGATTTTGTGCTCTGCATGCACACACGTGACTTGTCTTACAGCAAAGTTATCGGGTAAGCCCTACAGAGCTGTGCGAGTCCTGCCTTCTGTCTGGAGAGCTTAGGGGTGCAATTCCTTCTGTTCGTGGTAGATCAGCTCAGGATGGATGTGCATTGATCTGATAGTTGATGTGTGTTTAATTATCTGAGCACTTATTCACTAATGAGCTGAATCATGCCCTTCCTCTGATACCCATCATGAAATACACCTGAAAATAGTTGGAGGGCAAGTGAGCAGCTTGCTTAGTTTGTTTACTTTTTTATGGAAAGGGTTCAGAAATCTTGCTCTTCAGTATTTCTGATCCTTTGGGTTTTACTCTTTATTTAAACATGCTTGCCTAATGGCAGATTTATTATTAAATGAAAGTGCAGCCTGCACTTGGAAAAACTGGTACTTGTAACAAAAGTCACTTAAGCCAACAGAGAATGGAGTGCCTGCAGCAACTCTCAAAATACTCTCCCGATTCATCCTGTGCAGTCAACAGTGGTAGACTTTTACTTGTGTCTAATTACCTGATCTAAGATGAGAAGTTAACCCCGAGCCCATCTCACGTGCTGCTTTTCACTGTGAGGCAGTGTTGTGTCGCAGCGCTGGCAGGTGCTGTGTGGGATCTCTGTGCATCGCCCCTGCACTGTGCAGCGTGGGCTCAGTGCCCGCACCGCTGGGCTTCCTCGTGCTGCACTTCTGCAGCGCTGCCCCAGGACAGATGCAGCACTTTGGTGCTCCAGAAGTCTTAAAAGTGCCTTCTAACAGCTTCAGCTGTCCTGACATAGTGATGAGCAACAGTCTTTGAGGGAAAGCTAGCTGCTAATAAAGCTGTTGCATAAGAATCGATTTGTCCTTTAAATAAATGTCCTAACAGTCCGTACAGTGCGCTGTCAAGAATGTGAAAGTAACAGCAAACTTGAGCTCAGAGCAGGTTTTCAAGATTCTTAGCACCAAGCACTGAATCTATGGGTTTGGGATTTACATTTCTTAAAGCAAGAACTAAACAAAACACAAACAAAAGGAATTTAATTGTCTCAATACATGTTTTGTATATGCCCTGTTTTGTTTTAAATAAAATGCTGGTAAAGAATACCTTAGGTAGAGGTCTTGTTCTAGGCTTTGCTAGAAGTTCTGCTTTGGGTTTAACGGCAGGTAACAGCGTATGCATACTCCATTTATAATAATCAGAGCACCCACTTAAATGGGCAAGAGGGGGGGACTTGGATGAAATAAAGGATTAATTACCAAGTTTTCATTAACATTGATTGAAACTCAAAGCTGCAACAGACATTCCAGCTTAAAAGGTGTTTCCCTTCCTAGTATATGGAAGGAAGATTAAAAGGAAGACTTTTTTACCAGGAAGACTGAAGGGCAGTTGTGGCAATGGAAGCCATGTATGGAGCTGTGGATTAGCCTTTGAATTTTGGGTTTCATAAGATGGAGCACAAAACGAGGTGCTGAAATACTTGTGCTCTGCTGTATAACAGGCTGAGGTCAGGCTCTCCCTAGCCGCTTTACTCAGGGGATTGTGTTCCCTGCACATACGCAGAGCTGAACGTTAGGTGTCTCTGCTGGCTAAAAAATGGGACTGCAAAGACTTCCCTGCCTGCTCCAGGGCTTCTGTCCGCACGCAGCGAGCAGCAGCACGGCAGAGCGCTGAGCCGTGCAGCGCGCACAGGGGTCAACCCTGCTGCTCCAGCCACCCCGGGGGGGGAAGGAGCCTGCCCTGCTCAGGCCTCAGCAGCCTTCGTGCTGGGGACGGGGCTGCCCTGAGCCCGCAGCCCTCCCTTGCTGGATGCATCTTACCCACATTATAATAATCGTGATCCAAAATAAGGGTCTGCATCCAGAGGGTCATCTTCAGAGCCAGAGATCCTTCCCCAGTTTGCTTGTTCTATCACTAGTGCAAACGTTTCTCCGTGTTGTAGGGCGTATAGTGCCTGGCATCACCACGAGGTAACAGAAGATGCCCTAATTTTGCTCACTCTTTGTTTCAGTGCAACGCCGTACCCAGGTGGAGTGCCCCGCTGAGGGGCCGGCTGACCCTGCTAATGCACGTAAGAGCTTCCAGGGCAAGAGCAGGTGCCTCTTGCAGTGCAGGTAGTTGATGTCATGCAAAATTTGCAGGTATATCGTAATCCACAGATCAGCAACAAAAGCTTTGATTTGGTTACAGGTTAAACTGAAGATGTAATTTACTTAAGTGGGACCTGGATGAGATGCTTAGAGCTCTCATTCTACCAATTATCAGACTTCAGAGAGATAAACGGCACAGCTACGGTTCACGTGTTTTGATCCTCTTAACCCACCCCTTCATTCACGTTACGATTTAACTGCAGGTGATCTTACAGGCTTTTTGAGCAAGGGACTTTTGCATGGAAAAAAATTAAAACAGAAAACAACAGACACACCACAATAAAACGTCTGAAACTATTCTCCCTCTTCATGTATGAGGGAATGTATCCAAGACTCTTCCCTCTCTACAAGAATTGGCTGCCAGCGGAGCAATCTGGTTTAGAACTGGGGGTCACAGCACTTATGGAGGAGGCCAGCAGCCCCCCATCATCACCACAAACCCGTCTGCCTGGAGCCAGGTGTGAGAAACACCTCAAATAATTTTCTTCACACAGACTCTTTCTTCTGTGAAGCTATTTAATTCGTGATTGCAGTACCGGGCATCCTGTCAATCAGGAGCACATTTTAGTAAAATTATAACCTTTATTCCCTACTACCCGATGCCTGATCACCTCCCCTATTTCCTCAGTGGCAGAGTACTACAGGTTCACAAGCTACTCGACACTCCTCTATACCATGTGTCTACCTCTATACCTCTGTGTATCCTCTATATGTACAATTTTTCTTTTTTTCAACCCTTTAATTTCTCCTTTCTTATGTTTCGAGAACCTGTGATCTTTGTTTTAGTGTTCCCACACTGCTCATCCTGTTTGCCTCGAGCTTCCGCCTTATTTTGGAGCAGTGAGCTCCTACTGTCCACTTACCTATTTAGCATTTCTCCTTACTATGACTGCACAACTACCTTGGAATACAGAAAAGTAATTCTCTACTGCAAAAACACAACTTAGTTTCTCACAATTCCCCCCCTCTTCTTTTCTTACCCCTATTGTTGTTTTTGCACCTCTTCACATACTACTTTATTTTTGAGTTTTTCCAACATAAAGGTGCAATATTCTTCTTTGGCTGTCAGGGGGGATGACCGATATACAATGCCATTATTATTACGATACCAACAAACAGTTGTTTGAGCCAATTCTATTCAGGTAATCACGAAATTAGTTTCTCCAAAATGTTTCTAAATCCCCAGGAATTGTCATCTTGAGTTGCTCTATGTAGTTTTACCAGTTTTAACCTTAAAAGTTGGAACTTGGCACAGTCTGTCCCCCTCAGGCTGCAGTTTCAGCTCTCCATGTTTGCATCAGATCCCAGTCTCCTGCTCGGAATGGATGGATCGGGGCTTACAAGGGTGGGGTTTGAGCTAACAGTCCCAGGGCCCTGAAAGATGACAAAGAGGACGACAGCCCGAGTATATCGCTCTTAAGAAAAGCATCTTTTGTCTCAAATTGAGGTAATTCATTCCCTTTGTCCACGGACAGCAATCCAAATAATATTTCATACGGTGAAACTCCCACATCTGTTCTTGGTGCAGTTTGAATTTGGAGAAGTGCCAAAGGTCAGCACTTCGTCTGGGGAAGCCGAATTTCCAGAACTTTGTCCATTGCTGCTTACTGTCTGATCCTCTCCAGAAGAGGAAGGATGCCAAGGAGTGTGAAATTGCCACTTAATTCCTAGAGTCCGCGTTAGCCCTCACAATATTTCTGGCATAAAGTGATTTCCTTGGTCAGAGTCAGTATTTTCAACAATTCCATACCTGGGAGTTATTTGTTCTGGAATTACTGTACTTACTGTGTTCGCAGTAGCAGATACTGAAGGGAAAGCTTCCACCCACCCTGACAAATGATCGACCAAGACTAACAAGTATTTAAATCTACCTACTCCAAGGAGCTCAGTAAGATCTACCTGTACATTTTGGAAGCATTGAATTCCTGGTTCTCACCCCCCATTGGGCTGACTGCGGATAATTTTCCTATTTACCTTTTGACATACAAATCCTGTGCATTTGTTCAGCCAGAGTATATATTATATATATAAATTCCTACACTTACCTCTTTCCAAAGCACCGCGTCACACGTTGCTTGAATTCCCCAATGACCCTCCTGATGTCAAACAGTTAATATTTGCCTCATTAGCACTTTTTTCAGCATTTCTCTCCTATCAGGGAGAGAATCTGTTTTCCTTTGGACTTTTTGACTCCTAATTCCTTAAGAACCTCTTTCTCTTAAAACTTTTGCTTCATTTTAGTTTTGAGTAGGGGTAGCTCAACAGTTCCCTGAATCCTCTCTGGATTTATTTTTCATTCCCCCTCAAACACTAGGTGCCCTAAATACTTGACTTCTCCTTCTATGTATTGTAATTTATTTTCCAATACTCCCAAGCCCTGTTTTCCCAGAAAGTTGAATAGCTTGTTAGTGGCTTCCTTCACAGCTGTTTTCTCCTGTCCTAACAATAAAAGATCATACACATATTGTCATATTGTAACAGTAACACCCCCCCTGGAGGTTGGAATTACTCCAAAATTTGTTCTAGAACTTGCCCAAATAAATTGGTGGCCCTGTAAGCCCCTGAGGTAAAATTGTCCATCTGCATTGCTGCTTCCACCACATTTCAGGGTCTTTCCACTCACAGGCAAATATATCTTTGCTCTCAGGGTCTGAGAGCACCCCATTAATAACACCATTATTCCAGTCTAACAATTTACTATTTGAATGCCCAGTTTCATTATCAAATCCTTTCCCAACAAGTTAGTCCCTGCCTCGGGCACATACAATAATTGCCCAGTGATCGTTCTGTCCCTAGTCTCAGCTCGGTGTCCCCAAAAAGTGGCACTGTTATCCCAGCCCCTTCTACCCCCATCACATTCTCCAAATGGCTCTCTTTAGGCACAATCCCGGGGTCCCCACCCCCACCTTGCTGACTCTTGCATCCCTTAATCCCCAGCTCTTCCCGACATGCTGCTGTGGACTTTACCACCCACAGGGTACCACACGCCCTCACCTAGGATGAGGACAGAGGTGGGGCGTGCTGCCGAGCACCTCACCTCACCTCACTGTGCTCGGGGTACCATACACCCAAGGGCCCAAACCCCCGAGACTCTCTTTCACTCCTCTCCTCTCTCTTTCACTTCATCCCTCTCCAGCCGAGGGGACTTTGTTCATCCCCTTGCAGGACCACCAAGCCTCATGAATTGGGAATTCACATTCACTCTGCACTAAAAGTGTGTCTCATTCACGCTCACACTCATTCACACCAGAGTCTCGCTGAGCCCAACCCAAGGCAAGATACAGTAAAGTTTCCCTTACCTTGGTCCATGCACGGCTTCCCGGTGTGGGTTATCAGCAGTAATCCCCGTGCCTGTTCCCGATCCAGGCTGGTCCATCTCTGGGCTGTGCCTGAGTATGTCAGTGCTGGCTTCCCTTCTCCCCAGAGTTTCACAGAGCCTGTCTTCAGATTAACAGCCTTGGTCCTTTGCCGGCCGTACCGAGACCACCCACCACCCACAACGGGACTGCTGAAATCAGCGGGGTGCACCTTCCTGTCTGTGGTGGCGAGAAATCTTCAGCAGGTGACAAGATCCCGGACAATCCCCAACATTGTGAGCAACATCTCACATAATTTTCTTCAGACAGGATCTTCTGTGAAGCTATTCTATTCGCCATTGCCATCGTGAATAAAATATCTTCACAGAAGATCCCGTCTGAAGAAAATCATGCGAGATGTTTCTCACACAGGTCTGAACCTCTTCCAGAGAGAGTGTAATAAAAATCATGATCGATGTGTAACCTGAAAAGCCATAATTTATTGAAAATCACAGATAAGCTACAAGCATTGACACATAAACATTTGCAAACACTAATTTAATTTAGGGTATGATAGGTTTACATACAATGCATGTGCAAGAACCTAGACACATAGGCCAGGGCACTGGATAAGCTACTTAGTAGTACTTAGAGTACTTAGAGCA